GTGAGTGTGTGTGTGTGTGTGTGTGTGTGTGTGTGTGTGTGGAGCAGCATTTAATGCTGCAGTTTAGTGTTACTCAACACACACACAGCTCTGGGTAATGATCAGTGTGTGTGTTTCATGTGCAGGATCCTCCATGCCTGCAGACCGACGGCCGTTTAGTACCGCTAAACGAACCCTAGGCATCTCTAAACCCACAGCCGCCTGCAGCCTCCCAGCAGGTGACCAGTTAACCAGAAACTGATTAATGTGGATGATTAGGAGTTAAAGCAACAGTTCAGCCTAAAATGAATATCTGCTGAAAGTGTCAGATCAGGATGAGTTTGTTTCTTCATCGGAGACAGTGATGCAATGCTACATTTCTACAAACCTGATGAAGAAACAAACTCATCCTGATCTGACACTTTCAGCAGATATTCATGTTTGACTGAACTGTTCCTTTAACATCTCGTTTTTTCTGTAAAGCTGCTTTAAAGATGCTATGCCATTAACTGAGTTGACTAGTGAAAGAACTGGGTTGTTTTTAACAGGGTTTGTGGCGTAATGCTAACGACACAGAAGATAATTCCCATCCATCACTAGGTTAAAAAGAAGGTTTGAGGGTTTAAAACCAGACACACAGCCTGAATTTCTGTTGAAATTACTAAAACCACTTTTTAATTTGAGTGGTAAAGTGTCTAAATACTTGTGATTAAACATTTGGAATTATTGCGCTTTCTTAAATGTTTCTAAGAGTCTCTTCTGCTCACCAGAGCTGCGTTTATTTAATCCAAAATTATTTAATTTATTACAATCTAAAACAGCTGTTTTCTCTGTGAATATCTGTTAAACTGTAATGTATTTCTGTGATGCGCAGCTGTATTTTCAGCATCATTACTCCAGTCTTCAGTGTCACATGATCTTCAGAAATCATTCTAATATGCTGATTTGCTGCTCAAGAAACATTTCTGATTATTATCAATGTTGAACACAGTTGTGCTGCACAATATTTCTGTGATGCATTGTATTTCTCAGGATTCACAGATGAACAGAAAGTTCAGAAGAACAGCGTTTGTAACATTATAAGTGTGTTCAGTGTCACTCTCGATCAGTTTAATGCTAATGTTGCTGTGTTTCAGCGGCGTCTGCAGGTGTGTCGCTGAAGCCGCAGCCGTCCTCGTTCTTCGCTCCGGGTCAGCTGTTCGCCGCGTCCGCTCAGAGTTCACCGAGCTGCACCAGCGACACCTGGAAGTTCCTCCAGAGTCTGACGGGAGACTCTCAGCCCAAAGCTGCGGCGAGCGCCTTCACGCAGGACTTCCCCACCGTCAACCTTTCCGACCTGCACGACTTCAACAGCTTCATGGCATCGGATCAGACGAGCGCCGAGCCCGCCGCGGAGCCCATCCAGAGCGCCGCCGACGACGAGCTCCCCGAGTTTCCCAGCTTCTCGGAAGTGCAAGGCTCCGACGTCGACAACATCAACATCGAGGATTTCCAAGCGCTGCTGGTTCAGAGCGGGCTTCCCGGGGAAGTGGGACTCTCGCTGGGGAAGCCGGGAAGCTCTACGGAGCCGGCGGCTGATCACGCGGGGAACGGCTCCACGTGGATGTCCTTCCCACCCAGCATCGCCAGCCTCATACAGAACGAGAGCATGATGGAGAGCGCGGCTCCTCCGGCTCCGGCCCCCGGCGTCCTCGACGACCTGGAGGTGCTCAACTCCATCGACGACGACCGCTTCATGTCCATCTTCACCAGCGGCCACCAGGTCGGATTCCTGTCTGGACACCCCACCTAAAACACTCAAGAAGATCCTGGAGCATAAACGCATCTTCAAACCCCATATATATATATATATATATATACACACACACGAGATTAATTCAGATTTAATGGCTTTAGCAGGTGGCGGTTTTCCTCAGATGTGTATCTTGTGTACTGTGTTTATCTCGTCTCATATCTTGAAGAGGTTCACCAGCTAAACCAGATTTCAGACCAGTAAACACACAGTGCCTTATTGAGCGGCTCAGCCAATCACTGCGCAGAATCCACAGCCTCATCGACCAATGACTGTTGAGAACACCGAACTCTAGTTCTTGTAGGGCCCTGTGATTCCTGAAATATATTACACATATTATACAGTCGAATGTGCTTCTCAATATTAATAATACAGTACACTTAAAGGAATATTGCAGTTATTATATTTTGTAAATGGTAAACCTCTGTCGTGCAGCCAGGAAAATGTAAGGAATTGCTAAATTTTCATTTGATAATCTAATTAATCTTTTAATCAAATGAAGGGATACAACTTTAACGGCTTAGTGAGTGTTTAAAAATGTAAATGAAATCGTATAAAAATCTGAAAAATTAAAAGACAACAGATTTCCTGAAAACGATATAACATTTCATAAGGCCACTATTGTTGAAATGTTAATACATTAAGATGTTTTATGAATTCAATTAGACATGTTTCTGATTATAACATTTTAAAATAGACTCAAATTAAAAAGTAAAACTAAATTTGGAAAAAATTAAATAAACTTTTTTTTTTTTTTTTTTTTTTCAAATTGTAAGCAAATTGTTGCTTATAAAAATGCAATAAATTAGACATGATTTTTAATCAATACTTTTATACGTTTATTATTACTAAAATTTTCTTTAACCAATAAAATGGAATGCAGAAAAAAAAAATAATAATTTGGGGGAAAAAAAATCAGATTTCATACGGCCCTAAAATGTCATTTTTGTTTAACTTAAATACGTTTTTGTTAAATTGTGTAACTTTAATGATGATTTTTATTAATTAGACATGCTCTGTGATCATTACTAAAATTGAATTTAAACCATTAATTCAGGATCCAGAAAAATTTAAAATGGAAATTACGAAAAAAAAAAAAAACATATTTCATAGTTTTATATTGGTTAGAAATGGAAGCTGTTTAAATCTGCAGGATTAGCCCTAAAGCAACATGAGCACTAGTAAGTCATCATGTTTATCTAGTGCCGGTCCAGTTAGAGTAGCTCTGAATGTTTCAGCTTCGTGAGGCTTCAGCCACATTCTCCGCCAGTCTCTGTTTTATTGTCTGTGCATTTATTCTGGCGATCCGTTACACACATTGTGCATGAGTTAATCTGACCATATCTGGCCGTTTGAGCCTAAACTAGCACTGACAGCTGAGCTCCACATTCACATGCTTGCAAAAGGGAAGCGTGCCACTGAAAGGATTTGTAAATAGCTGTAAACTATCAGATCTGACATCGGTAACCAACTTCAAAAAATCCTCTGCTGTAGCTTTAATACAATAATCCTTCATTATGTTCTGCTGTAATTGTAGGCAATCATGTTAACTGCAAGCATGTTTTCCGTGTTACATGTTATGCATCACAAACATTAATCGCTCAGCTTGCATGGAAAGAGAGACCGAGGCAATCGCTTCTCTGTGTTGTGGCCTTACTGCAGTTAAACCTCCTGTTTTGACACGATTTGAGTGTTTTACAGTGAAATTATTTTTTTTGTACTATTATTTGAGGTGTAATAAATACATTTACATCACACAATTCTGACTTTTTCATTATTACGCCTCGCAATTCAGATTTTTTTCTTGTAATTCTCAGTTTACATCTCGCAATTCAGATTTCTTTTCTTGTAATTCTCAGTTTACGTCTCGCAATTCAGATTTTTTTCTTGTAATTCTCAGTTTACATCTCGCAATTGATTTTTTTCTTGTAACTAAAATTTTCTTTAACCAATAAAATGGAATGCAGAAAAAAAAAATAATAATTTGGGGGAAAAAAAATCAGATTTCATACGGCCCTAAAATGTCATTTTTGTTTAACTTAAATACGTTTTTGTTAAATTGTGTAACTTTAATGATGATTTTTATTAATTAGACATGCTCTGTGATCATTACTAAAATTGAATTTAAACCATTAATTCAGGATCCAGAAAAATTTAAAATGGAAATTACGAAAAAAAAAAAAAACATATTTCATAGTTTTATATTGGTTAGAAATGGAAGCTGTTTAAATCTGCAGGATTAGCCCTAAAGCAACATGAGCACTAGTAAGTCATCATGTTTATCTAGTGCCGGTCCAGTTAGAGTAGCTCTGAATGTTTCAGCTTCGTGAGGCTTCAGCCACATTCTCCGCCAGTCTCTGTTTTATTGTCTGTGCATTTATTCTGGCGATCCGTTACACACATTGTGCATGAGTTAATCTGACCATATCTGGCCGTTTGAGCCTAAACTAGCACTGACAGCTGAGCTCCACATTCACATGCTTGCAAAAGGGAAGCGTGCCACTGAAAGGATTTGTAAATAGCTGTAAACTATCAGATCTGACATCGGTAACCAACTTCAAAAAATCCTCTGCTGTAGCTTTAATACAATAATCCTTCATTATGTTCTGCTGTAATTGTAGGCAATCATGTTAACTGCAAGCATGTTTTCCGTGTTACATGTTATGCATCACAAACATTAATCGCTCAGCTTGCATGGAAAGAGAGACCGAGGCAATCGCTTCTCTGTGTTGTGGCCTTACTGCAGTTAAACCTCCTGTTTTGACACGATTTGAGTGTTTTACAGTGAAATTATTTTTTTTGTACTATTATTTGAGGTGTAATAAATACATTTACATCACACAATTCTGACTTTTCTCAGTTTACGCCTCGCAATTCAGTTTTTTTTCTTGTAATTCTCAGTTTACGTCTCGCAATTCAGATATTCTTTTCTTGTAATTCTCAGTTTACGTCTCGCAATTCAGTTTTTTTTCTTGTAATTCTGTTTACATCTCGCAATTCAGGTTTGTTTCTTGTAATTCTCAATTTACGTCTCGCAATTCAGATTTTTTTTCTTGTAATTCTGTTTACGTCTCGCAATTCAGATTTTTTCTTGGAATTCTCAGTTTACGTCTCGCAATTCAGATTTTTTTCTTGTAATTCTCAGTTTACGCCTCGCAATTCATTTTTTTTTCTTGTAGTTCTCAGTTTACGTCTCGCAATTCAGTTTTTTTTTTTAATTCTCAGTTTACGCCTCGCAATTCAGTTTTTTTTCTTGTAATTCTCAGTTTACGCCTCGCAATTCAGTTTTTTTCTTGTAATTTTCAGTTTACGTCTCGCAATTCAGATGTTTTTCTTGTAATTGTTTACGTCTCGCAATTCAGATTTTTTTGTTTTAATTCAGTTTACATCTCGCAATTCAGATTTTTTTTTCTCGTAATTCTCAGTTTACGTCTCGCAATTCAGATTTTTTTTTTTGTAATTCTGTCTACGTCTTGCAATTCAGATATTTTTCTTGTAATTCTCAGTTTACATCTTGCAATTCTGACTTTTCTTGTTTTTCTGACTTCTCGTAATTTGGAGTTTACATCTCGCAATTCTGATTTTTTTTCTTGTAATTCTCAGTTTACGTCTTGCAATTCTGATTTTTTTTCTTGTAATTCTGTTTACGTCTCGCAATTCTGATTTTTTTCTTGTAATTCTCAGTTTACGTCTCAATTCAGATTTTTTTCTCGTAATTCTCAGTTTTAGTCTCGCAATTCAGATTTTTTTTCTCGTAATTCTCAGTTTACGTTTCAAATTCAGATTTTTTTTCTCGTAATTCTCAGTTTACGTCTCGCAATTCAGATTTTTTTTCTCGTAATTCTCAGTTTACGTTTCAATTCAGATTTTTTTTCTTCGTAATTCTCAGTTTACGTCTCGCAATTCAGATATTTTTCTTGTAATTCTCAGTTTACAACTTGCAATTCTGACTTTTCTTGTTTTTCTGGCTTCTCGTAATTTGGAGTTTACATCTTGCAATTCTGATTTTTTTTTCCCCGTAATTCAGCGTTTGTGTTGTTCTGAGTTCTCACAATTCTGATTTCTTTCCTATAATTTTGTTTACATCTCTCAATTCTGATTTCTTAACTATAATTTTGTTTACATCTCTCAATTCTGCTTTCTTAACTATAATTTTGTTTACATCTCTCAATTCTGATTTCTTTCCTCATATTTCTGAGTTTTCATCTCAGACTGCAGTGCAAATCTCCTGTCCTGACACGATTTGAGGAGGATCTGCGTTGTGCACAAATGAACTGCACTAACCCTTTATTATCTGAGCTATAATTAAGGCGAATAACTGCTTTATTGCACAGAGAATCACTGTTTGAAAAGTCCCATATTTATTTGGCAAAATGAACAAAACCAACCTTGTTGAATATAAAATGTTTTAAAAGAATAACTCAAATATCTCAAAGCCCTTCAACATTTCGGCTGTATGCTCACACGTCGGCATGCAGTTTCACCGTCACTGCTTGACATCGGTAACACAACAGAACGTTTCTACAAGTCAAATGTCCTCCAAAAGTGCAGTTACGAACGAAAAGGAAAACAAACAGGCGTTCAGGCAGGAACCGGAGGAGCTTCACGTGAGCTCCTGGCTGGTGACCTTGTTGATGATGTGCGAGCGGCGAGGAACGCTCTCCAGGTCGAACATGCTCTCGTAGATGGTGGGGCAGATCTTCCAGCGGTTGTTGCGGTAGATGCCCAGGTACGAGTAGACGTCGGGTTTGTAGTAGAGGACGCACTTGACGCCGGCGGTGCGGATGACGGCGTCCAGACGCATCACCTGCTCCTCTTCGGTGAAGTTCTGGTTGTAGACGCAGATGACGTGTCTGGAATCGGAGCGCGGGTCTCTGGGACTCACTTTGGCTGAGTCGATCTTGCCGTCGAGCGCGGCTCTGGCGATGCTCTCCCAGGCGCGGTCCACCTTGAAGCCCGTGTCCAGGTGCATCAGCCACTTGCCGTAGAGCACGCTGTGATTGAGCGCCAGCTCTCTGATGGTGTGGAAGCTGACGCGGCGCCCGCTCTCCTGCAGCGTCTCCCAGCTGTCCTGCAGCCCCTCCACGTCTCCGGCATCCTCGCAGTACTGCGGCCCACGCACCGCGATCCAGCCCACCGGCCCCCCGGCCCCACAGCGGCTGACCTGCGAGGGCCGGTTGGACTCCAGCCAGCTGCTGAACTCGGCTCGGGGCGTTTTGCGGGCGTCGAAGACGATCCAGGGGTCCATGTCGGCGGCCATGGCCTCGGCGGCGTAGTCCTCGGCCGAGAGATGCTCTCCGTGCCCCGCGGCCTCGTCCTCCGCCATGCCACCCGCTGCTGGAGAGCACAAACACATGAGAGCGGAGCTCAACTGAACCGGTCCAGTGAGGAGCTTCTCTACATACAGGGGCTTTCTGCCACAAAATAACAATCAAATGGGAGCAACTCTTAATTCTGACTTCGCACATTTATCTCTCACAATTTAGATCTTTCTCCTCAGAATTCTTGAGTTTGCATCTCACACGTGACTTTTCCTCATAATTTAGTTTACATTTCTCTCACAATTCAGGCTGTTTTCTTACAGTTGCAAATGTATATATATCTCACGGTTCTGATTTTTTCCCCCTTCTGAATTCTGAGTTGATATCTTGCATTTGTTTGCTGTCTCGGCGCATAATAAAAAGGTCACGGAGACACGTACTCTCTCAGTTCTGACGGGTTTAGTCATTCTGATTAACTGCGAACATACACTTCTGCGGTTTTCTTCGGCTCTCGCAGGAGGTTTCTATCATACTAAAGCGCACATTTCATCACAAACCCATTTAATACGCTCGCTGTCGTATAAAACATATCAAACGTGTAAAATGCTCACTCTGTTGTGTGTTTTTCTAGCAAAACTCTGCTGAGTCACTGCGGCTCTCACCCGCGTCCCCCCCGCAACACTTCCGGTTTCCGCTTCGTCGTCTTCTACTGGTTATTTCCTGTCGGATCATTTCCGCGATGGAGATGCTGAAGCGCTGATGTTTAAGGAAAATAAAAACAATAATGCTAATACAAATCATATTTGATCTATATATCTTTATCTAAGTTCTATTCTAAACATGCGTTTGTTTTAGGTAGCTCACTGTCGGGTTGTAGCTTTATTTAAACACACGGAAGCAGAAAGGAGCACCGTAAAGCAGCGAGAACTCGCGCAGCAGAAATAGCGCAACGATCCGCCGTAAGATGCCGATAAGTGTCGCAGCGACGGCCGGTGTTCTGATCGCTTCAGCGGCGGCGCTATCCTTCAGATCCAGCGAGTTTGACCGCGGACTGACGGAGCCGCGCGGGATGCCGAGCAAGAAGAAGAAATACAACGCCAGATTCCCTCCGGTGAGACCCCCCCCCACACACACACACACGGGCTCAGAGGCCCTCAGTCTACATCTGCAACGCGAACGCGAGAGAATCGGTCGGCTAGCGGCTAAGCGTTAGCTTGCTGATCGATCAATGCGCTTTAATATGATGCAGGCTGTCAGTTTGTGGCGTGAGGGAGTGTATATATTATGTGTGTATATATATAAGAATATTTGCTCATCAGGGGGGTTAGCATGAATGCTAGCTAACCCCTCTCTCTCTCTCTCTGTGTGTGTGTGTGTGTGTGTTTTGATCCAATCTGAAGTGTTTTTCAGATGTTCCGAATCTAATGAGTGTGAAAACGCATGTAGTATGAGATCTGATCCGGTTCACACGGTCATCCGGAGCGACTCGGGTTTGTGTTGTTCTGTGGAGTCAGACATGTGCTGGTGTGGACATCTGCATGCAGCCTGACTCTCACACACTGACTCTCGCTTCTCACACAGAGAGGAGGCTGCTGACTCTGTGTCTGAAGGGTCTTTGTGTTTGGTTTTGTAGGCCAGGATTAAGAAGATCATGCAGACGGATGAAGAAATCGGCAAGGTCGCCGCCGCAGTTCCTGTCATCATCTGTATCCTTCCACTCTCAGCCAGAAGATCATGAGTGTGTGCTGTAAGGCTCCACACTACAGGCACGACCAGGGCACGTTTCCATAACGTCGTCTTTTGTAGCTTTAAGTGCTTTATGAAATACAGGTTGTTGCAGGGCAGCTTCAGTTTAAGGAATAGTTCAGCCAAAAATAAAAATGAGCTCACTCTCAGTTCATCTGAGATCAGGATCTTCATCAGGTTTGGAGAAATGTAGCATTGCATCAGTGTCTCAACAATGGATGCTCTGCAGTGCATGGGTGCCGCCAGAATGAGAGTCCAAACAGCTGATAAAAACATCACAATAATCCACAAGTAATCCACAGCACTCCAGTCCATCAGTTAACATCTGGAGAAGACAAAAGCTGAAACAAATCCAGCATTAAGACGTTTTTAACTTAAATACATAGAGTCCATAATCCATAATAACGCTTCCTCCAGTGAAAAAGTGCATCTGCTGTTGTCTCTCACATATTTGTTTAGAGCTGTTTCGGCTTGTAAACGCTGCTTGATCTGCACAGATTTCTCTCCTGATTCGGACCAGAGCGTCTGTCAAATGCACGAGTGTGAATGTGGAGTGTTTTTGGTCTCGTCATATCTGCTCTTTCCTTGACTGTGATCTGAGCTCGTGCTCTTGAGCTCTTCCTGGAGTCTCTGCTGACGAAAGCGTGTCACGTCACACAGTCACGCAACGCCAAAACCATGACCACCTCACACCTGTGAGTCGCCACCGGCGTTCGTGTGTCATTAGAGCAGCTCGTCGGAGCACCAGTGTGAAGGAAATCTAAAATCTTAAAGGCTTTGCTTCAGTGCTACCAGATTGTATATGAAGCTAAACATATTTTTAAAACGGCAATAGTTCACCTTAAAATGCAGATTTGCTGATTGACTCTCAGTTCATCAGAGATCAGGATCTTCATCAGGTTTGTAGAAATGTAGCATTGCATCAGTGTCTCAGCAATGGATGCTCTGCAGTGCATGGGTGCCGCCAGAATGAGAGTCCAAACAGCTGATAAAAACATCACAATAATCCACAAGTAATCCACAGCACTCCAGTCCATCAGTTAACATCTGGAGAAGACAAAAGCTGAAACAAATCCAGCATTAAGACGTTTTTAACTTAAATACATAGAGTCCATAATCCATAATAACGCTTCCTCCAGTGAAAAAGTGCATCTGCTGTTGTCTCTCACATATTTGTTTAGAGCTGTTTCGGCTTGTAAACGCTGCTTGATCTGCACAGATTTCTCTCCTGATTCGGACCAGAGCGTCTGTCAAATGCACGAGTGTGAATGTGGAGTGTTTTTGGTCTCGTCATATCTGCTCTTTCCTTGACTGTGATCTGAGCTCGTGCTCTTGAGCTCTTCCTGGAGTCTCTGCTGACGAAAGCGTGTCACGTCACACAGTCACGCAACGCCAAAACCATGACCACCTCACACCTGTGAGTCGCCACCGGCGTTCGTGTGTCATTAGAGCAGCTCGTCGGCCCGTGTCCTCATGCGTGCGTGTCTGTGTTTGTGCAGAAAGCAGTGCATAGAGCTGGAGCAGCAGTTCGACTTCCTGAAGGATCTGGTGGCGGCGGTGCCTGACATGCAGGGCGAGGGAGAGGAGAACCACACGGAGGGAGAGAAGATCCCGCGCAGGTCAGACACGCAGTCTGAAGCACGCATGTGAGTGAGTGTGCGTGAGCGAGTGAGTGTGAGTGAGCGTGTGCGTGCGTGTGCATGAGTGTGTGAGTGAGCGTGAGTGTGTGAGGGAGTGTGTTTGAGTGAGCGTGTGAGTGTGCGTGAGTGTGAGTGAGCGTGTGCGTGAGTGTGCGTGTGCATGAGTGTGTGAGTGAGCGTGAGTGTGTGAGGGAGTGTGTTTGAGTGAGTGTGCGTGTGCGTGAGTGAGTGAGTGCGTGTGAGTAAGTGAGTGAGCGTGTGCGTGAGTGAGTGAGTGCATGTGAGTAAGTGAGCGTGCACGTGAGCGTGAGTGAGCGTGCGCGTGAGTGAGCGTGTGTGAGCGAGCGTGTGAGTGTGAGTGTGCGTGTGCGTGAGTGTGTGAGTGAGCGTGCGTGTGCGTGAGTGCGTGTGCGTGAGTGAGCGTAAGCGTGTGAGGGAGTGTGTTTGAGTGAGCGTGTGTGTGAGCGTGTGAGTGAGCGAGTGAGTGAGCGTGTGAGTGAGTGAGCGTGTGCGTGTGCGTGAGTGTGAGTGAGCGTGTGCGTGAGTGAGTGAGTGCATGTGAGTAAGTGAGCGTGCGTGTGAGTAAGTGTGAGTGAGCGTGTGCGTGAGTGAGTGAGTGCATGTGAGTAAGTGAGCGTGCGTGTGAGTAAGTGTGAGTGAGCGTGTGCGTGAGTGTGAGTGAGCGTGCGTGAGTGTGAGTGAGCGTGCGTGAGTGTGAGTGAGCGTGCGTGAGTGTGAGTGAGCGTGTGCGTGAGTGAGTGAGTGCATGTGAGTAAGTGAGCGTGCGCGTGAGCGTGCGCGTGAGTGAGCGTGCGCGTGAGTGAGCGAGCGTGTGCGTGAGTGTGAGCGAGCGTGTGCGTGAGTGTGAGTGAGCGTGTGCGTGAGTGTGCGTGTGCATGAGTGAGTGAGTGAGCGTGAGTGTGTGAGGGAGTGTGTTTGAGTGAGTGTGCGTGTGCGTGAGTGAGTGAGTGCGTGTGAGTAAGTGAGTGAGCGTGTGCGTGAGTGAGTGAGTGCGTGTGTGTGTGTATGCATGCGTGCATCTGTCTGTGTCTGTCAGTGT